CTTAGTCAATTGTCAATTACGTGGGATTAAAGTCATCTCATTCCTTAATAGACCTCTAACCTTTTAATAGCCGTTTTATTATCTAATAACAGTATGTTATACGTCCATTAATCATATCTATGTATCATTCAGATGTCACCAATTTGGGGAAAGGGATTGTTAGTAATGTGGACTAATGAACCCATTGCTAGCAATGTACCATGTCAGGTAGACATGCACGCGGTTCCCCTGGAAACCATCGTGATAAATTCCTGGTGATTTGTCACGATGGGCTAACTGACCTGACTTCATGCTCATCTTGTCAACTTCCACTGGTACTCCGCCGATGTACAGCCGTTAGCACAGTCGGGTGAACCATACCTCAATTATCCATTAAGACAACTTCACTTTCACGCTAATAATATTAGTTGTCATCTCGAATATATATAATACCTTTTTAATGCACCTACATACATATACGCATTGATCTGTGTATGTGATTTGTACACTTCCCACCATGTGACCTTCGAATGACCTTGGTTGAGGTACACCACACCATATAGAGGAACTACGCACCATTAAACTACAGACACAATAAACCTGGTATATACCTAGAGGTAACATCTCGAAGCTTGCGGTCACTTTATAACTAGTAATCTGTGGATGCTGTACGTTGCGGTAAGACACAGTGAATTATAATGCTATAATTATAATAATACTTTTACACGCGACTTCATCTGCTATTTATATAGTTACTTAACCAGTTGATGTGTATTTAATATTCTGACTCTGATGAATTAGTGCTACTTGTTGATTTGTTTTCACACACTGCGTTTTAAAAATGTTAAGTCACAACAATTAATTAAAAGAGCAACACTCAACTCGTTCTTGTGATGACACAGCTTTTAGAGCGGTAGATCTAAAAAAATAAGTATCACTATATGATGTAATGATGATGAATGTGCCATACATTAATTTTTAAATCTAGCAGCTTATCAGATTACATTATTAACAATCCCCTATGGATTGTTAATATTTAATGTTGATCTGATGACCCCATTGCTAGCAACGTATGGTACTCCTCACCCCTCCAAGAAAATAGAGATACTCTCATCCACGGGGTAGGAAGGGAATTGTAACTGGGCTAACTTCATGCTCATCCTATCATGCTTCAACTCCACCAGAGTATACCGTTAGCGCAGACGGGTGCGTAATTCTATTAAAAAAGTTCGTTATGCATTACACCAGGTTAAAACCAAGAGACCAAAAAGACGACGGGTCAAAATGAAAAAGTTTATGGGCCCTTTTAGGTTCTATTTAAGTTACATGACGTGACATTGTCTCGCTAATTTCAAAATGTACATGTCTAAAGAGTAACTATGTATATCCTTGAATTCACTCCGCTCCGTTTAACATGCGCACTGGCAAAGCTCGTGATCGTTTCATTTGATTAGTACAGACAGAAATACATGCTTTTTACTTTTTGATCTTGTCCAGAAATAAACTTGACAGATGCACCCACTTGTGGATCGTATAACTTAATTATGTTGTGTAAAAATGTAACTATTTTATTTGCCAAATATATCCAGAACAAGAAGAGTGGTAATGATGTTTGAAGTATAAATCAAATATGCTGTTTTGATCTCTTTGTTTCATCGCTTAATGTTTCTAATCTCTGCAATGAATTTTGAAAAGGTTTGAATAATAATTTTGGGAACTTCTTCCGGAAGAAGATTTCGAAATTTCATCAACCTTCACCAAAATTTTAACCTTCGGAAGGTGGATAAAATTTTGGAAACTTCTTCCCGAAGCAATTCTTCACATTTCATTTCGGAGGTCTAATAACATATAAACTTTTGGGAACTTTTTCCGCAAGAAGTTCATGTTTCGTCAACCGTCACCAATATTTCAACCTTCCGGAAGGTTTATATAAGTCTTCCGTTATATATACTGTATACGCGTATAAAGACGCAATGGGTTGCCAATAGATCATAAAGTAAATTATTCGTAAAAAAATGTAAAAGAGAATTACCTCGTTGCGAATTATGCTAATTATAATATGGCTGATTGTATGTCGAAGTCATAGTCAATTGTAAAGAGGTCATAGAACAATGGAACGGTGAGAAGTTAAACTGCACGTCGTGTCTCACGTTAAATGAAATTTTGGTACAAATCAATATTACGTAATGGACTTATATTATTTTGTTTAATTCCGCTAACATTAGCACGTGTGAGACCACAAATAGTCAGCGCGGTCCAGGTTCTTGAATGCCCCTTCTTCTTACCACACACTTCCACAAACGATCCCCCCTCCAATCGATCCCTCGTCCAATTCAAACGGGAATCGAAATAACGACGGTCTTAGCTGAGGTTCGAACTCCTAACGGTGCCCCCAAAGACTAAAGTCGTATCCGTCAGGCGGGAGTTGTCCTTCAGCCGCTCCATAAGTCCTTCCGCTGGTTTGAAGTGCCATCTGCAGTGTCCGGTGAAGCTGTAAAGGCCAGCTGATGCCAACAGCATTAAAGTAGTCCGAAAAACAAGCTAGCACAAACAATATTTTCCCTAACAATATATATACAAAGCGGGTTTATAATTCAATCAATCTTCTCCAGACAACCTTTGAGAAAAAAAACAGAAAGCAGTAGGTGGTGCAAGAATAGATTCTGAATTGTATTTTCATATTTCTTGTCTACTTCCACATAACGTGTAAAACTAATATTGGGGGAAGGCATTTCATATTACTGTGTTTAAACAAATACATCTTTCGCAAAAATTAAGGGAACGGAATTTTTTCCAAATTTGTGGGTGATTTACAACAGGCTCTATTTCAGTGAAAAATGGTTGTACAGAAAATAAAAAAATAAACTCTTGAAGATTGAAAATTCTAGTTTTCAAGCTCAAATTTTTTTTTCCATGCCATAGAGTAAAACCAAAATGTAAAAATTTTTTTCGTGCTTCATCTCAGGATTGCATGAGAACCTGAAATTTTCAAGCTTCTAGAGCTTATTTTTTAATTTCTGTACAACCATTTTTCACTGAAATAGAGCCTGTTGAAAATCACCAATATATTTGGAAACATTTTCTGTTCCCTTAATTTTTGCGAGAAGTGTACACAAAACATTCTAAGTTATATTGAAACTCAATATCTACCATATCAGACCTGAAATTTTTAGAACCGCTGCAATATTATGAAACTTAGCTTTCTCGTATGGCTCCACAATGAAATCACCATTTGGACTTCTGCAATATTCTAAGCTGCATTTGTGACACTAGGTAGGGAACGATATAAGTAAAGTGAACAAAATAAAATGAAATCATGTGAGGATTGAATGAATTTTTAAATATAAAAATTTATATAAAAAAAAGTATATTTAAATAATGTTGTCTGTCATTTTGAGGAATAACAAATGTTTTAATATACACTTTTATTTTAGAAAATTATTTATTTTAACAAAAAATAAAAACAATTCCGCGCGGACAGAATGGACAGATGAGTTAAAATTTTACATTGATTGTCGAATATTCTGCGATCTTCGACAAGTACGAGTTTGATCCTTTTTTGTTGTACTTTTTTATCCCAATGACAAAACCGGTTGTGGTATAACAATGCCAACATCATATATTTCAGATCAAATATTTGGCCAATATTTTACATTGTAATGTTTGCCAAACTTTTTGTATTTAAAATTCAGGACATGTCAGTAAAACTGGATTTATATCATATTAGTATATTTTATGCTTTATTATTTGAATACGATAAACTGTATGCTTACAATTTCATATTCAAATTGTTATGTATAAATTTTTTTACTATAACTGAAGTAAACTAAGTAAGCTTAATAATTTGTACTAATTAGGCGATTTGAAATGAGAAATCATATAATAGTATAAAATCGTTAAGTTGAAGCTTACATCTCTGTTACAGATTATTACGTTAATTTCATCTAAAATATCTACATATTCAATGAACTGTACTATTTTTTTATACTAGATGATAATGGAATGGTGCACCCGCCTGCGTTAACGGTATACGCTGGCGAGACACCAAAAGAGGATAAGATGAGGATGAGGTCAGATCAGCCCATCTTAGCAAATTGACAACGAATTTAACATGATAGTTTCCAGGGGGAATCGCGTGCAGATCAATCTGACATGGTATATTGCCTAGCAATGGGGTTAATAATCTACATTACTAAAAATGCGTTTCCCCAAAATTGCAATATTAAAGTAAAGATTTAGGTAGTAAGTAGTATCTATTTAGGTTATGCAAAAGCATCAAATTGTATAAAATGTAACTGCAATCGTGTTGCCATAGCAACTACCAGGTAAATTTTGCTAACAAAAGGGGTCACCGTCTCTCCATTGTTACGAACAGGAAAGAAAGTAAAAAAATAATAAAAGAACAGCTGCAGCTCATAGAACATGAAGTTTAAGATTTGAATAATTTTAGATTTAATATAACTATAATTTTCTAATTCATAATTTATTTAAAAAAAAAAATCATAATATCATTTAGCTCTCGATATTCGGACGCTACTACAAATGTCCTTGCCATGGGACAACTAATTAATTAAAAAAAAAGTTTTAAGATATCTTTTTAAATAGGTATTTAGAAGTAGATTCTGCCAATATTATCTCATTAAAACTAAGTGTATAAGAATGCAAAATTATTCTGAGTAGACACACTTATTTGTTCAGAATAATTTCTAACATATACCTACTTACTTACGTAGTTTAATTAATAAAATATCAGTGTAATTTCGAATTTCTTCTACGAAGCCGTACGAAATCGCCTACACTACAAAACTAATTAATTACGAAATATGAGAGTTCATTGATTTGCAAGCGCATGCGTTGTCTACTAAAAAATGTCATCGTATGATGTAGCTGAACAAATGGTCACGAATTCTAGATTTAGCGGCTGTTATTACGTATACAACATTATGAAAGTTCTAAATAAAACCGTCGACTGTTACCGGTGCAAGGTAAAAATATAAATTAAACAAAGTGAAAATACTTACTGTAATGTAACACTACGCTATACCATGACCCATTTCACTGGTACCAGCATCATTGGAATGTCGAACTTCAGTCTATAACCTCAAAAACACGTGTTTACACCAAACAGAAGGTTTGTTCTTTCAGAAATGACTGTGAAAATTATTCCTTCGCCGATTATGTGTGTACGAATTAATATTTATAAAGTGTTATGGAGACCGGCCGGTAAAACGTTCAAGTAGAGACCGCAAACTGTGCTATAATATCGAGTTTGCGTGTGGAACTGCGTGGATCGCGCTCGTATTGGTCGAAGTCGATGCCAACCGTCCACTCACAGACGTCATTTTTATGGCGCTACGCGCTTACGCTGCTTTCTTACACGTATTGAGGTTATTATCAGCACGTGTTACATCTCCGTCCTATATCGTAGTACGTTTGTAAATATTCTTATCTAAGCAGCGTTGTATGATATTTATGACGTATCGCGTGCGGATTGGTTTATTATTAGGTCGCGTGGTGCGGGAATGCACTATGTGCAGTATTTGTTGATTGTAGGTTAGATATCTTTGACTCCTATGGGGGGTGATAAATAGCTGTGTATCAAATATTAAGAAATAATAATAATAATATTTATTCAGCATTACAATGATGTAATGCTGAATAAATGTCGTTATTACTATATTATATTAAAAGAAATGCATTTCAGTTTATTGTAAGATCTATATTATCGTTAATAGGAATAATAAATACACAGGATTTTTTTCCTATGGTAATAATGGAATGGTGCACCCGTCTACGCTAACAGCGGCGCGGCGTACGCTGGTGAGACACCACCGAATGATTTTAGGATAGGTATAAACTTATGTTCAGCCCATGGTGACGAGTTCACTAGTAATTAACCACGATGGTTTCCAGTGGGGGCCGCGTGGAGGTCGACCTAACATGGTAAATTGCTAGCACTGAGCTACCTACTACCGGTATTTACAACCCCCACTTCCCCAGATACAAAGAAATAGCCGTAAAGGACTGAAAGAATTCAGTTTCGTTGATATTATCACTACCTAATAAAATTACGCAATTGAGTCAATGTTTTCCCCAAGATGTGTAAAATTGAAGATAATATTTAAAACCTACATACAAACTGCGGGGTCACGTGACTGTTTTATTACGAAGTTTAAATTATATCTAGTATTTAGTTATCTATATGTACCTACTTTATTTTTTTAAATGTGGCCTTATGAAATTTATACCTATACCTACATATACTCCTGCCGTCCCTTGTGTCATCCACTCCCCTCCTTAATCTGTGACATAATTCATTGATAATTATTCTCTGGTGAACTGATCTGCTTTGCTCAACTGACTATATGTATATACATACATACTGTTGGATATTGTTCATTAAATACTAGCAGTGCCCGCGGTTTAATTTCAATTATGTAATATTATGTTATCTGTGATTTCAATATAAAATGAAGCCGACGTGTTATTCTGATGCGTAAGCTATATTACTGTAAAGTTTCATCAAAATCCGTTCAGTATTTTTTGCGTGAAAGAGTTTTAAACATCCATACTTACAAACTTTCGCGTTTATAATATTATTATTATATATATATATTAAGATTAAGATTATGTCAATCATTTTTATTCTATAGTTTCTATATGTATAGTTTTATCATATTTATCTGTGTTTTATTATGCATTACTCTGTGCGTTTTTTATGAATGATTACTTTGTAATTATTTCTTCAGTTTTTGTCTACGTTATTGTATTAAAGTTTTCCATTTGTGATTTTACATTTTATTCAAGACTAATAACATATATAATAAATGCGTCTGTTTATCAATCTGTTCATTATCGTTTCACAGATAAACGGCTGAATTGATCTTAATGAAATTTAACATGGTAGAGTGTGTTATGAAATTAGGTCATTGTGCTGACTTGCTACACTTAGTTTCCAATTAATCTGAATTTTGCAATATGCTACACATAGAGCCATCTGTGCATCAATACAAGAAACTTCTAACACGTCTATAACATAGGTAGAAAAATAAAACATGTTCATGTAAGTTATTAACATATTTTGAGTTATGGAACGGAACGTAGATCGTGTCATAGGAACACAAATGGCCCAACTTTTATCTCAAAAAAAAAGCAGGCGAACTCGCGGAAAATAGCTAATATTCTATATTTTAATTCCTATGAATTCGTGTATTAAAACAAAATCTCTAAAATTTATGCTGGGCGATATAATGTTTAAAAAAGGAACGTTAAGTTTATTAGCCATTCTTCTTAGCAAAATGTGCATTCCGAATAGAAAAAATACTATTCAATTGTTTATATTAAGTTTATTTTATTAGAGACTAGTGCTGTTTCTATTTCAAAATAGAATTTAAATTAATTACGGTGTGCATTTAAATAGATTCTTATTTTAAAAAGAAAACTATTTAAAAATAGAATATGTTTATACTATTTTCAACTGGCATCTCTCCTTGTGATATAGTGCAAGTACTTTCTGACATGTTCAGTTCGCGATTCGGATCGCTCAGTTTAAATTGCAGAGCTCTTGTGAACTAGTTGGTTCCTTTAGTTCGCTCGCTTCCATTGTGAGTCAGAGAAAGACTGGTTAACTTTGCCGCAAATTTGGTCACTTTTTTGAGTCCTCGAATTTTAAATTCACATTTTTTGAGACTTTCTACGTATTGAATCGTATTCGCTACGACGTTACGTTAATAGGGGACCCTATTAAAAAGACGTCGTATTTTCTGGATGTCTTAAAAAAGTGTTGTTAGTTTAAAATTCAAATATGTGTTTTGTAGGAGCAAGACTTTTATAGTATTTTGCAAATTTTATAAAAAGAGATCAAGGAGTAAAGCCTCTGCGAACTAGTAGTCATGGGGAGCGCTCTTCCGAACTAGTTTGTTCACAAACAACATAAGTTTATGCATATATGTATGTAGTATGTACATTTACTTTTATTCAAGCACACGAGCTTTGTACGCCATGTTATCGTCAACTGTTATTGTGGCAATATCGGAAAATAAGAACATCAATGGATTTCTCTAATAATTATTTGATCTAAAATTTATATAAAGTAGAGGACTTTACATAAATACATTTAGCTTAATATATATATATACTCTAAATTTCATTATAATATAATTTCTTTAATAATTTCATTATTTATAGAATAGGCACTAACCGTTTCGGGGTTAGTGGCTCCATAATATAATTGAAAAAGGCAGTGAGTTGCATAGGTACTTAATGGTATTACTCAATAGAATATTCAATTTATTTTTTAGAATGGCAAACAAGCTGAGGGCTCTTATGCATTCGCATATATCATGAACAGCATCAAGGACACTACGCTATCACGTGATGCTCGTGATACAACAATCCGGAGAACCAAGAAGTCATGCCTCCATTTCTGTAATTTCACTGCCATATCTCACCCGTCAACTGAAAGAAAAAGCGGAGCAAACTGCTTGGCATATGCAATAGGAGAGACTGAGGTAACTTTAGAAAGGAAAGAAAGAAAAAAATATTTAATGGGCGCATACAAAACATTCATATCAAACATATAACAAGTAAATAAAATGCATAATATTACAAGATGTCTTTATGTAAAGTCTACTTCGGTCAAATATATTATTATAGAAGTTACTCCGTCAGCCATTATCAATTCATTTGTAAACGCCTGATGAAAGTAGGTAGGCAAATACATTTTTTTACTTAATTGTCTTATAAATATAGCCAGGAGGTTAGAGACTATGGAGTCGTCTGTATGGGTATAGTTGTCTTCATAAATATATTACTCAGAGTCAATATACTTAAAATTTATGATCGTTACATATTGACTCTGAGTCAATATGTAACGATCATAAATTTTAAGTCAACAGATGTAACTTGATACAGTTACATTTAAAGCTAAATTAATATAATTCGCTTCTGTACCTATTCTCATTGTTGACTCGCTTATTATATATTTATTTTTAACTAGCTGCAACTTAATCCGCGTGGCTTATAACTTATTGAAAAAATCTTAAAATAAAAGTAGCATAAGTTAGCCCAGATCTTTTTGAAAGAAAAATTTAAGTAAAAAAATTACAGTTAGGTTAGGTTAGTTAGGTTACTACTTCAATTTTATACATTCACCAATAGTGTGGACCAATGGAAATTGTATGTTTTTATACATTTATTAACATAGAAAAAAACCGTAGGTACCAGTAAAATAACTTTTGGAATGTAACAAGAGCGACATTGCATTCACTTCAATAATCATAATAAAAATTATAATGTGTTTTAGATCACATATTTTAAGAAATTTATAATGAACTGATCTGTACAAAGTCTAGCTCGATAATATGGATGGAATAATATAAAAGCATATTTTAAGCAAAGAATTGTTCTAACATACGATATGTTATTTTATACAAAAATCTTCTACATTCAGCATAATCACTATTCACTTACAAATAAAGGAATTAACACATTTCACATTTTTAACAACTAAGTCCATCTTTCTCGGTGGTTAATATTTTTTTTCTATTCGATAACCATTCAGCTTCCTCTATGGTATCGAGTAAAGGTAAATTATTTGTCTCTGGTAGTGTGATCACTAGAATACTGGCTATTAATGTGATGCTGCCAAATGTTATTGATGGCAGCCGATCATAGTATTCTGCCTGAAATAAAAAAATATAAGCAAGTACTTTACGCTATTTTATTATATACTGAAGCAGAGCTTGTACGTTGGGCAATAGACTTTCTTTGAAATTTTTGAGATTTTTGTCTCTGCTACAAAGGTTAATCAAATGTAACGAGTACGATTAATATCAATTATAATGTCAAAGATATGAAACAAGAAATACATAAATATTAGCCTCCAATGATTTGTTACTGAGAAAAATTGAGATTACTAACGTCAATATTTGCGATACATACGTATTATTAATAGACTAGATAGATTTTTTCTGTACTTTCTCCCTATTTCAAATATACTCAGAATAATAAAGACTATACTAATATTATGACAATGATTACAAATGTTCTTAATTTGAGGTACTCACATCCAACGAAAGGAAAAGTAAATTGTTAAGGTTTTGTAATTACACCTCTTTTACATAGTCAAATGACAAACTACTTGATGCCCCACCTGAAGGAAAGTGGTAATTGCCATCTAAATACCTGCATGAACAGCATCACTAACTTTAGGATGCCGTTTCTAAGGATTAAGGTTTCATGCCTCAGTTCCATCCAGCTTACAAACT